AGTTAAATGCTAGTGTGAGAGGGTATTTAGGTAAAAACACAGAGGGCTGCGACAAAGGCAAAGCCTGTGAATGATGACACACAGGTTGAGGAAATACAGAAGAAAGAGCACATCTGAGCGGGGTAGCCTTGATATTTGCCAGACAGAGAAAAGGACTAAGCTCCTCCTGCCTTCTGTCTCCTGCTACCAGGATAAATCCCCACTGATCGCTAATTGTGTGATTCTTCTTTTCTACATCAACTTCAGCCCGACAGGTTATTTCAGCTTGTTATCGGGAAAACATTTATCCACTTGGAATTATTACTGTGCTAGGGCCTCTGGTGAAACACAAACAGTAGTGAATCTTTTAGAGTTATGGTAAGGCCTCTCCTCATTAGATGGCCAATCGACTGGCGGAGCGGAGGGCCCAATCCCAGCCCTTTATTGAGTGTTAAGGAGACACAGACTGACATTTACATCTCTTGCTTCTTCATGACTGGCTAGAGAGAAAATGGCTGCCATAGATCCTGGCTCTGAGGAGCGGCATGTAAGGTCAGACAGTGAGACACATCTTCATCTCTGAGCAATGCTTCATGGACGAGATAGCACATTTGCTACACAGAAGAAAATAGGATGTAGGCAGAAAATAGAATACAGTGGATGCTTGGTAAGTAATATGTCATTTTGATGAGTGCACATCTTGGTTGCACAGAACAAACGCTGTCCTCTCAGGGCATAAGAACTCCAAAAAACAAACCTAAAAGATGTAAACAAGACAAGTCACCCAATCTCATCTTGTCTGCATTGACTTATTGAGCCGAAACAGAGGAAAACACTGCTGTGGATAAAGCACCCACATACCCCCAACAAAACCACAACGGCCCTCCACTTCTGAGGTGCTCTTTTCATTCAGTGGCAATTACAATCCACACCTGGCAACACAGAAGACATCCCTGTGCCTAACAATGTCGCAGAGGAACTCTCTTCCAAACTACCCTCCCAAATTGGCTCTGTAGCTTCGACCCAATTAGGGCTGAAATATGGTAACTGCATCAGCCATTACAGAGCCATAGAGATTGTGCTGGGAGAACTCTTGAAGGTTAGGAGGGGGGTATGCTTCAGGAGTGATATGTTGTGTGGACTTATGCTTACACAGCAGAAAAAAGCACCATGACGAGGGGACAGCAGAAAGAAGCAAGAAGCAAAGGAGGGATGATAAATAAACACTCCTGGATAGATATCCTGTGGACATATATTAGAGTAGAGGGGAACACAAGAATGATTAGTGTTTCGGCCAAGGACAAGACTTATTCATATCAACCTTTCTTCTGCATCTTACTGTAATAGGGAGTATATTGTTAAATGCTAATACGGTCTGTTCAGTGCCTCATGTAATGAACCATAGCCTTAGTATAATCTTGCTGAATTTGCATTACAACATGCAGTATTTTACCAATTTATTATGAAAATGTTTTTTAATTTGCAAGCCAGTTCTAGCCACTATGTATATAAAGAATAAAACCTATGTTATTTAAGAATAAAATAAAGCACAAATTGCAAAAGCTAAGGCGTTAAATATGCTTTTATTATGCAAGGGGGAGAATGATGTTTTATAGTAGCTCATCAATATCTGAAGACATTTTAGCAGACCTGCATAAAATAACAAACCGCCCTCCCCCTTTTTCTTCCTGGATGGCTGGCTGTGGCCTACATGTGCTCCTGACACCAGGGTAACTAATGTTCCCTTTGCCAGCAAAGGATTCTGATTTGATATAAGCATTCAAACCTGTCTGCCTTGAGATATGGCGTCTGTCACCCTCCGCTACGATTGATTCTCTCTTGCCCTTAAATGCAGTGCTTGCAATGCAAGCCAAGGACACTCGCCTGCCTGGTCAAGTAATGACAATCGTCTTTAAGGAATAATGGCCCGAATGCTGCTTTTGAAAAGTTACCAGGCCGCATCCAATAATGAACTCTTGGTCGATGACACATTGATAGATTCCTATTCTTCAAATGGGACACTGTAGCTGCAGTTTAATTGACAAGAAATGAATTCAGGAGGTTGGTAAGGAAAGGCAGGGATGAGATGGCGGGAGGGAGGAAGCAAGAGGGGGACTAAATTCTGTGTGATCAGCAAGGTTTCAAACAATCATTGGCGAAGTGAAGTCTCTGCCATATCTATAAGTCATCATGTTTTATAGACCATTAGGATCTCCAGAGAAGGGCCGTGTGGAGACCGTGGCTTTTTGTCGAAATTAAAATGTCAGAGAGGAAGAAATAGAACAAAACAGGGAATCTGCAATTAATTACCTGGCCATAAAAATTCAATAATCGGGAAGCAATGCTGTTTTCTGCGCAGCAGTACTCCTGATCACAGCAAACTGGAATAGAATGCATTCATCTCCCCAAATTACATTTCTAATCTAAAAGGGTATATACTAGAGAGGGAAAGAACCTTCAGTGAGAGCGGAGTACTATACACAGCCTGTACTGTCCTGGGTAAGCTTTAGTGCAGACAAACCTGTGCAAATACCCAAAGAATGCATTATCCTCCAACACCCAAAGAACCAATGAAACACAGCACTGCGTAATCGATTTAGAATTAAAAACTGAGATTATATTAAAGATGTTTACACATATATATTTTTTGTAAATATGGGTCCTGTTTTAAATTAACACTGAAGATGCAAAAGGATGTAGAACTCCATCTTTTTCCCCTAATACATAAGAGATATTAGCTTGAGATAATTGCTAATTATTTTTAGAATGATACATGCCATCATCATATGGAAATGGAAATTCAATAGTATAAGTGTTGTTAATGTGAGAGAAGATACAGTGTAATGTAAGTTTCATTGACCTATCTGTTAGCTGAAGTGGATAGAAAATGACTGCTAACATGGTGCTCACACAGAACAAAAATACATAGAGATACATTAAGTGTGACAATGATATGAACACTTTTGACATGGTCTGATGACATGTATACTCCCACCTTTAGTCAATGATTTGTTCTGAAAATGGAAGAAAGGAAAGAAGAGTGAAATATGGAGGTACAGTATCTAAGGCCTATTAAAATGTTTATGATTAATTGCAAGTTTGGTGCAGGGATACTGAGTAGGGATGTCCACTGTCCCACTTGATCAGATTCTGAGCCAAGACTTTCTGTCATTAATCAGTACTGGTTTTATCAAGCTCAATTCATTTCTTAGCCTTAGTTTATTGTAACTCATTGTGCCCGGAGTATGTGCCTGATATGGGGAAACAAAAGGGTTAGAAATAATTTGAAAAAGTTTGCTTTTTTTCTGTCTCAAAACACTGTTGTGCACGGTTTTGCACCTTTGGTAGCCAATACGTCACTGCAAACTCAACAAAAAACACAATTTGCATATTGTGCACCTGTGTTGAACCATACACTACAGTTCATTTGTGTAAGTATCCCTAAAGTATCTCCACAGGTATCCCTTCAGTCTCCCCTAAAAAGTTAGTTATGTATCAAGGTGAGAGAAGGGTAAAGACACATGGCCAGAGTCTTTAAGACTCCTTGTAGACATGAGACTCAGGCTCCCACAGCAGAGGGTGGTCTGAAGGGGAGGAGGAGTGGTTTTAATTTAAGGAATGCAGTGGTGCTATATTTCACCCTCTGCTGTTGTCTCACATTATCTTGGTAAACATCGCCGGTACTAATATGATATATTTTCGAGCAGGCGGTGTTTCATCCTGGTCCCTGCGTGATTGATGAATGACGGAGGGATGAAACAGGGACAGAGATTTATGGTGCGCCCGCGCACAGAATATGTATGATTATCAGCTGTATGGTGAAGGCAGCTCGGTTTGAGTGATAGGCACATGGAGAGAAATCTACTAAATGACTCCATTCCCGCTGAGAAGTCACAGGAGGAGGGTTTTTATCTCTGTCTATCTCATTCTGTCCCTCTCTCAGACACATAGGTACTATATTCTTGAGTGGAAATGCTGTTACTAAAAATCTACTAAGCATCACAGAACAGATATCAAGGTATGCATATTATGCACATTATTACATATTTGACATGCATGTTTGATGTTTAATAGATTACCAAAGAGAGACTTTGATCTGTTGTACTTGCCTTTAGATCCAGCTTTGGCTCATAAAAATTTAAACTTTTTTTTTCTAAATACTATATAGACATTTTTTTTTTTACTTGTGTAGACAAAGCAAAGATACTTTTTCCATCAGCAGACAGTGCTGGATCACACTCACTTTGTCTTTGTCTACACTCATCAGCCTCTAAAAAGGTGCGACAGTAATTGTCAGAGTGAAATGCTGTAGTTTATCTTCAGTTATACAGTAATTCTGCCTAAGCTCTGATTTAGTTATAATACCCATTGGCACCTCTGAGTGCCTCAAACAGTCAGCACCTAATTGATCGATAGGACGTCATCATAAATCCCACATCCTATGCACTTTATTGATCCTTCTGGAGCGCTTGCTGCTTCTCTGCATATGTGATTGCCTCAGCCCACACACATGCCAAGCATCAGGCATATTTTATCCACCAGAAGCATTATCATATGCAGACTGTATTGTTTTCTGCATCTGAGAATTACTGCTTGCCAGCATGACTTGAATGACACCCTAGAGAGGACTTCATTTCCTATTCACCTCAATTTATATTTACACGAGGGTCATAAATAACACTAATGCACTAAGGCGGTTTGGTCAGAGTAATTGTTTATTTGCTTCCTAGTGGACATTATTGCTGAACACTTCAATATCTGGCTCATGATTTCATCAGAGTGACTCTGTTACATGCAGAACATGTGTGAGAACTTGTCTTTTATGTACTTGTTACACTGTATATTCAGGTGTTTCACTATTTTTTAAATATATTCTTATGTGTGTATCAACTTGTGTCGATGTTAAAAAGTATTCATGAAATACATGTTGGGGATAAGCAAGCTTCAAGATAGCTATTTGGATGCTAACCAACTTAAATTTACAGTCTTGATATGAGGATGTTCTTGTTTGTCCCTCATAGGTACATCCTGTTGGCCTGACCTTGGGGGAGCAGATCTGACTCATCCATAGCTGCAGGACTGGGATCAATGCCACGTTCCTTGACTCCTTCAAGGCTGGTGGTGATAGTAGCTGTCCAGCTTTTAATGGAGACAGTTATGGAAAAAAGGATGGTAAAGTAAAATAAAAAATAAAAAATCACTGCTGTCCTCCTAGTAACTCAAAGGTGTGTGATGTCAGTGGCAAATTACACCACCCCATGATGTCAATGACACTCCAATCTCTTTCTACAAACACCGCAATCTTACAAAATAAAGACCTATGACACAATGTACTACAAGTAAAATGGCTTTAATGGGCTTAAAAAGCTTATCAGTTAGCTAGCATAACATTAGCATTAGCATTACTCTTGTGTTTAAACTATAAACTTGATAGTTCCTGACATAAAACTACCTTCAGGTCATGGGTAAAACAAGAGCACGGAGACAGTAACAATACAGGCAAGAATTATTTCACAAAAATATTACACTAGCTTTAAACCATAGGCAGACAGGCAGCCAGTTATCATCTATTGTAACTTATCATATTTAAATAATTGAATCCGCAGGAGATCTTGAAGGCTGGATTTCCCCACATTTGATGGTTCTCACAACACTGGTTCACATTTTTCCAAGAAGCATGGCCTTGTGAAACAAACCCTTTTCTCAGCAGACATTCTGACTTATCAGTACAGGCACAGGTGTTAACATTAAAGATAACTTGGTAACTTGGTTTCATTAAGTGTCCTCGCAAGCCAATGAGCAAGCTTACCAGGATCCTGGACTTACTTCACATAATGTTATTAAAGCTTAATTAATATTTTTAATTTAAAGTTTAAAGTTTAAATGTCGGCTGTAAAAAAAAGGTTGCACATTTACCTAACCAACCTCTGAAGGTGACTATCACTAATGAAAATAAGTAGCCTACAAGACAATGGCAGCACAGAAATATGGTTTTGTCTAAGAAAATGAATTTGCTTCTCTTATAAATCTAATTGTCTTCGACATAGCATGTACTCTCCTCATATTTCTCCCAGCAGGTTTGTTTCTATGGAGGACAGGACACCAGAAGGGTAAAGACCTGTTCCTGAGAAATGACTTACCCTGTGTTCATGTGACAGTGGCACGTGTCCAAGCATGGTCCATAAGGTGGAACAATGAGAGGATTTGTCGTCTCATAATTGTAATTTAATAAAGATCTCACATGGTATCAGCGGAGCCTGACAGGCAGGGCCTTCCGGCGCTTGTTAATGCAATTGTTCTGGTCAGACGGTGCTGTCACAAATCATGCTGAAAGTTGGGTGACAGGTAGCAGAGCTCATGGATACTTCCTGAGAAACTCAAAACAAGTTTTGGATAGAGGCCAGGGAACGGCTGCACATGCTGTTGTTTTGTCTGGTTGAAAATCAAGAGCTGCAGAGTATTTGTTGAGGAGGAGATGTGAGAGAGGGTTTTACTGAGAATAGGAGACATTGATTTTGAGAAGGGCTATAAAAGAACCTGGGATGTTTTAAGAGACATGTTTCAGGATCTATACATCAGAACTCATGTTAACAATAAACATTACAGTATTTAAAAGGACGGTTAAGGTAATAAAGGTAGTTATCATACCTCATCTAGTGTTTGTTCCTAAAAAACACAAGGTGTTGACAGTTTGAGGGAAACAATTTCCAAAATGGAGGCTTTTGAGGATTAAACAATGCCCTCCCTCGACACTGACACCGCCACCCTCCCTCTACTGCTCTTGTTTCACCTCTCTATTTCAGTGCTGATGTATGGGTGATGTGTGACAGGGAGAGCTCCAGTAAAACCCTGCATACATGCCAAAATACATTTTACAAGCACTGCTCTAATCAGCCTGCAGCCAGAGGCTCATAAATTGCCTCAGTGTGTCTGGAGCTGGGGAACAAACGCAGCTTATGGTCACTGCTGAGGGTTGGATATACAGCAGGCCACGCTCTCTGGGCAGAACCAACTCTTGAGTGCTGCTGGTGATGTTTGTGAGTCAATTCAATAGTGGGAGGAACAGCCCAGTGCGTTTATATATATAAAAAAAAAAAATGACAAGGAACAATAATTTATGCGCCTGTTTAATCAGCTGAGTGCATGTAGGCAAATATTTGCATTTTGACGCATGTTTTATGTCAGATGTTAGTGCGTGAGCATGTCCCCATGCTTGAATGCTCTCACTCATGTGAAAAGTCTCAAATATGTTAAAAGCTGTCATTACATCCATATTTAGGGACCACTGGAGGATTCATCAAGGGTTCATTACTTCTGCTCGTCTGAATCATCAAAATGATTTGGAGCGCACCAGCAGGTAGAATGTGTCACCACTCTAGTTGGGAGGTTGTTTTGTTCTTTTTAATCTCGACTGTAACCTTCAGTGTCCTCCACTGACAGGAAATGCAGTTTATCAACTGGGACTGACACCGGCGGAGGTGATATATGCAGGCCTGTACTTCCCCAGATAACTTTAATAGCGTGAAGCCCTGTTTCTGCTCTGTTCCTTGTTTTCGACCAACAGGGAAATTCCTGAAGTAGGAGAGGTTGATCAAATAAAATGATACTTTGAAGTATACGCTATAAGTATGCGAGTCCCACGATGACTTCGCCAAGTCCTCAAATGACATCTCAAAATTAAATAAAAGCACCTTGTCATCTCAGTAAAAGAGGGGAGGGGGGGCCAATGCAGCCTCTATCTCTGGTAGGTGTCTTCTTTTGAAGAACAATTTTTAGATGTTTTCCAATGCCGTCGCTTTATAAATGAAGGCGTACCACAAATACACACATAGGCTGGGAAGTGTAGAATGATATCATCTGAGAGTTTAAAAGGACAACAGTAGTGTGTGTTATAGCCAAGGCCAACGTGTGTCACGCCACTAGTGCTTGTGTAGAAAGAATGTGCACATGGCAAAAGTATGTCCATTCTCTACTATATAGAGACAGATGGAGCTCCTACTGTGTGCACACAAGTCTCTGGATTTTAAATATTATGCAGTCATTTGACAAATATCACATTTAAGAAGATTCTTTATTTATATCCCTATATTACTGCAATTTAATGCATGTGTGGGTGAGAGAAAAGACAGGGGCCGTTTCCTCCATTTTGTTCATCTATTGAGTTACATTTAATCCAATTGGGATACATTGGGTGGCAGCACTGAGCACGGCCCAAGGTTGAAGGTGTTTCTATAAGAAATATTGATGAAAAGCTGTATGTTTTTTGCAATTAAAATTTTAGGTAGCCACTACTTTTCCCTGACAAATAAGGAGGAAAAAACAAGGCAGATTTTGTGTTGAAAAAAAGTGCAGAACACACAGTCTTTTAATTACATATTTATAATGGTCTTCACCTTCAACATTCCCTCACTTTTACATAGCTGTCGAATAAAACCCCTGCAGAGGAAAGCTCATAACTGCACTGAGAGCATAGCCTGTGTCTATGAAATCCAAGATTTGTTGCTTTTTATTCTGAGAGAGAATAAGGTTGGGTTTATATATACACACACACACACATACACATACACATAGACACCAACTTCTGCTCGAGCAGTCAATAAGCAGACTGTGGCTTTGGCAGTGCTCTATCTTATTTACAGGACGTTTGTTGCACTTGACATTTATCGTGGCTCCGGGGCCGTGAACTTCATGCAAACGCCATCGAAGCATTCAATGCCAAGGGCCCGGGGCCTCCTGTCTCAGCGTCATCACAAGTCTTTTCACGCTAAGATAAATCACTTCCACTGGACCCCAAGCGCGGGGAAGGAGAGGAATGGAGGTGGGGGATGAGAGGAGAGAGTTAGATGAGGGGAGTAAAGGGAGTAGGGCAGACAGAGGGAGGGATTGAGGTTCAGGGATAGGAGTATTAACATCCAAGGAATACCCTGAGGTTAACGCCAGCCCCATTTCTCCCTTGTTAATTGTTGGGTGCGTTCACACAAATATCACTAACCATTATGAAGGCAGCATATGGTTTGGGTAAATGCTCTTTAGATCTCAGAGGGATGTAAATACTGTCACCACATGACTGTCCTTGGTCTTCTCATGCCCACAAGACATGAAAGCCCCCATTCGTAACCATCTGATATGAGCAGTATGTTGACCTGCTGGAGGCTGCTTGGGTGGATGAGTGTATACTTCTCTAAGAGGCAAAGCCTTCTAGCTATTACAGTTCATATGTGATCAAACAAAGAAAATGAAGTCAAAGATCCTGAGTAGAGTTCTCCAGGTTGTTGGCTGTCATGCTAGCATGGTCACAACTTATTATTGGCCAGTAGGTTTCAACTGGTGTCCAAATCGTTACAACTGTAATATAACCTTATACGTGATTATCAGAGGTGGAAAGTATAAACACCTTTACACAAACGTTATATGTAATATTCATAGGTATGTTTTCATTAGTGTATAATCCCTAAGTTTTCGTTAACTTTGTCCTCTTCTATGGAGTCCACCATGTTGAATAGCCCTGTTTCTACAGAAGCCCAGAATGGATAAACTAAACCCTGGCTCTAGATAGGGCCTTCTGCATTTTTGCAAGCTTCAAGGCCACCGTAGTTACTCCTATACACTTAGAAGGCAAGCAGTATTCAGGTTATCTCTTTCTTCACCACTAGACACCACATTTCCTACATACTGGTGCTTTAAGTAATGTACTATGCCATTTACTGTGATTATAATTCTGAGGTACTTTAAAAAGGAATTTTGCTCCACTACATTCATTTGTTGAAATAAAATTGCTAGTTAATTTGCAGATTAAGAATTTGTATCAAAAAACACAGTGTTCTTTGTCATGCTTCAGATGTCTATGAGTTGTTAGCAGCTTCACACACGAGTCAGTTTCTCTCTAAACTCAAATGATTTCATTAAAAAAACTACTTTAGGTTTAAAGAGGTAAATTAATCATGTTTTTTTCTTCCATCCTCTCCCACTAACCATCTCAGAACCCCTCAGATTTATATTATGACCCACTGGAGGGGCATGTCCCCCAGATTGAGAACCATTAAACAAAAATACCTAGAGTCACTCTATATAGTTAAAACACCCCAACCAGCTACAACAGTAAAATGCTGCTTACACGCACGCAACTACCTAATCACACACAACATATAATAATATATCAGCCAAAGGGTCAAGGGTCAGAGAGAAGATCAGCTCAGGTAA